CAGCTTTCCAAGAATTGCTATATTTCATAGAAGGAATTTCCCCTGTAAGAAATCTGGTGTTATGTTAAAGTTTCAGACTCAATATTGAGGTGGTGACCCAATGCTGAGAAGATCTCTACATTGTATTCCTAGCTGACATTTCTTTAAGAAGAAAAGGAACACGCTCACATGCAGCTTTTGAGAGGGTTTTCAGTCTTTGTGCTTTAAAGGACAAGAGAGTGGCTAGACCAGTGATATGTTGTTTATTCAGAATTTTTGTCACTTTTGTCTAAACTGACTGACGTGGCACACTGTTAGTCATTACGCTCCTGGACTGAAAAGGCTCTTTACCTGAAGAAGGTAAAGAAGCTCTTGTGCATCTCTTCCACTGCCTGAGGACAGAGAGAAGAGTTGCACCATCTGGGACGAGCGAGGGGTGTTTGGTGGCCAGAGCTCCATATGGAACTGGCAGCTCCAGGCAAAACCAACAGCCTCAGCCAGAGACCAGCACAGGGACTGGGGGCCGGGGGGAAGAAGCAAATGCTAGACTTTTGGCTGGATGTTGGAGTCTGTAGGAAATCCCTTTCCCTGTGTTTTCTTTTCCCGATCTCCTTCCTCAGGCAGTAGTGGCCCGGCGCAGTGTATGGGGAGGTGTGATGTTCACAGCCTGCCGTAGCTGCTGCCCTGCAGGGTAAGCTGCAGCCTGTATTTTGTCTCCCATCGTCACAGTCTGTGCAGAGTGTAATACTTAACGGGAAGAGGAGCCCTCCTGTTAAGTCCTAGAGGAAATATGAGTATGCAGTGAGACTTAAAAGACTTTAAAAAGAGATTTATTTTAGTGTCAGTGTAGTAGAAGACGCCAGATATAGAGAAGAGATGTGGTGTGAAATGTATCGAGGAGTATGAAGGTATGAAGAAGCAGGGAGCTTTTCCAGGTGGTAAATTCAGCTCAGTGCAGAAAGAGAGTGAGGTGAAGGAGCAGCTGGTCTGCGTTCAAGCTGCATGGGAGGTAGACTGTAGATTAAGAATAAAAGTTTTCTAATGAGCTTTCTTTAAAGAATCCTGGACGTTATGGATGGAACATTTTGTACAGGACAGCAAGTCAATGAAGACCAAAGATTGTCTCAGTTCCCAGGCATAGGTGAATATCTGAACAGACAGAGTGGCCCAGCTTCATTACCCACACGAGACGGGGCTGCAGAAAGCAGGAGCTGGTAAGCAGGAGCTGCTGTAGTCCTTCTGTTAGCAGCAGCAGGATGGGTTTATATTCTTATCCAGAAATATTGGAGACCAAGTCCCATGTTACGTATTTAACGAGTGTGGAGCCAGTGTCTCACCTTGGTTTCTCATGCAAGGATGACTTCTCTAGGAGCAAGAATATGAATGGAGATCTTGTGTTTGATATAGTCATCAAGCTCAGTGGCCAGGATGCTTTCTGTCTGGAGCGCTCCTCCTCCTTGCAGGGGTACAAACTGGCATTTTCGTGGTAGCATTTCCTCTGCTGTAGTTTTCTGGTATCTTTTGGCTATTTTGTATTGAGCTAACCTTGGCTCAGGACTGTAAGCGCATCCCAATTCAGCACCTATTGAAACCCAGTAGGTACCCAAAGGCCTGTGTTTAGTTTCAATTCCATGTACCTGTATTAATTTTTGTTATACAGCTATGAAAGCCTTAGTGCCTACCCAGCCTGTCTGGCTGTCCCTTCCTGGATGCTGTCACCAGTCTTCTCTTCCTGCTCCGTGTTGTTACCCTTGTTCTTCCCTGCTGCCACTTCCCATCTTCCTGACCCTCAGCTTCATCCCTTGGCCGCTGCTACTGCCTCATGCTGGTTTTTACATCCTCTCGGTTTGCCTGCTGTTGGATCAGAGTCCAAGTCACATTCTAACTGTCCTGGCCCTATTCTTAATTCATGAGTATGGTGTCACACACATGAAATGCGTTGATGGGATCTTATCTTTCTCAGGTGAACTGTGTGATATTTTGCACAGCTGTGCATGACTGTGATGTATTACAAATACTAACTATGAACACAGTGAAGCGGGCATAAGGCTGGAGAAAGAATTGCTGCCTGATATCATCAGGGCTCTCTTTTTAACTGGTTCCTTGATAATCTCATAGAACTGTCATATACTTACCAGCTTTCCCACTTTTTCACTTTCACAGCTCTACCAGCTTGCATAGATAACAGCATTTGAAGGCATGGAAGGTATTCATGACCTGCAATATAATAAAGACAAAGGTTTAAGCCACTATGAGTAGAGAATAGTGGTAGAAAAACTGGAAAATATAAAAAGGTGATACAGTAAGATGTTAGTGAAGTGAATATCGGAACAGACAGCTAGAAGGGAAGGATATAGGAATGGATGCCAAAGTTTCTTAGATTTGGCAGCAAGAAAAGACATCTGGGAAAAGGTTTATTTTTGTCTTCGGAAGATATTTTACTTAAAAAAAAAACAGAAAAGTGCTTGCTCCACTATTCCAGTGATTACCAAATACTGGCTTTTACTGGGAAAAGGTACTTGCATTACGTAGGTGATAGAAAGCATCAGAATGTACCCGAAGCGTGAGGGGATCCTGTCAACATTTGCAACCTGTGGTCTGATTGCTCTCTTACGTGCAATAAGGAGTCAGTGTCAGTACCCAGCACTGCGGAGGACAGGGTGCAGGGCCTGCCCAGTGCATGTATTGACTGGTGGCTGCATGCTTCAGTATGTCACATCTGTTCCTGGTACCTGGAAAACGTCTGCGCTGTGAGGCTCAACGCTGCTCGCTCGTCCGTTTGGTAAGCAGTGGGTTGCATGGGCTGCATGTGTGCTGTTCTGTGTACGGGGGCTCCTTTAAAAGACAAGCTTTCATTGTTTCTGGTGGGTAAGTTACTCTTCCCGTCCTAAAAACCCTGCTGTGTTGTGCTGCTGGTGCAGAATGGCCGCTGCCTTGCACCCCCAAGGTTGCTGCCTTCCAGTAGAGGGTGAGTGGTCCCTGTGTGTACAGTTTGTGAAGTGCTTTGGGATCCTTCTGGATGAAAGGCAGTCTGCGGAGTTCAGGGTACACTTACTATTAATTTACTGTCTTATTCCAGCCACATACAAAGCCTGGAAGATAAAAGTTGGTACCTTCCCACTGCCGCTGGGTCCAGCTGCAGATACTGAACCGGGACCCTAGCGAGGTCTCTGTGGGGGGGTCAGGCTTAGATCCTGCTGTGATTTTAGCCAAGCTTATTCTGATACTCCAGGGGGGTTTGATATTTCAAATGTGTTTCTGTTTTCCTCTGACTGTGTAAGGTATTTATGTGTCTGGTTCCCAGTTCCACTGAAGGGAGTTAAACAAGCTGAGTCCATTGCACACAAAGGAAGGAACAGAATCGCACCCTGCCAGGGAGATAGACCAGCAACAGGCAGGCAGGGCATTTTCTGGGGTGGCTTGAAAAAACTACTACACCATTGTATACTGGCTGCAGTGATCCATCTGCGCCTCCATCTCCCCATTTTTTTTTGCCAGAGGGAGGGATGAGCCCAAGGCTGCCCACCTGGCAGGGCTGTGCTGAAGTGTCCTCCTTCAGTGTGGTGAGTTTAAGAAGTTCATAGCCTGCTTCCACTAATGCCAAAATTAGCTTGGACACATTGTCAGATACAAGGAGCCCAGACTGCTCCACAGCAGAAGAGGATCTTCCTCCAGATGCTGGTGGGATGGTAGAGGAGGGCTCCAACCCTTATAAAGCTGTTCTCAGAGCGGGTGAGTACAGGGCTTGTGTCAGCTCCTGGTTTGTGCCGTACACAGCAGTGTTTTCTCAAAGAAAAGTCCAATGCCTCACTTAGGAAATCCTCACAAAATAAAATGGGTAGGGACAGTACTAATTTTAATTGGACTGTGGCTCTGGGCAGTTCCCACAGTGATACAAGCTGGAAGAGAAAAAAGGCAGTGTCAAATGTAGGAACCCAACCCATGGTTCCTCAGCTTCACTGGGATGAGCAGTTACGGTGAGAAGCTCAGGCCAGCTTGTCAGCCAGGCCTTACAGGAGGAGTGGGGTCCCTCTCTGCAGGAGTGTGGGGATGACTCCTGAGACCGTGCTGGTGGGACCGGGTAAGCACCCCCCAGGCCGGGAGCAGCCGCTCCCCTCCTGACCCTCTGCAGCCACTTTGCAGCCCCTGTTCTCAGTCTGTGTCAGCGTGTAATCGGGGGGTTTGCCACCATATTTTGTGTGCTAATTTATGTTATGTATGTTCATAGTTTACGTTTCTGTGTTTATTTTGTGTTGAACTAAGTTATTTTCCTTTATTGTTTATGTTTTTATGTTTTTAACTCTGTTTCATATTTAACTTCTTTAATTTATGTTACTTTACCTTATGTTTGCAATGTATCTTTTCATGAAAAAAATCTAATAAAAAGAATATTTTATAAAATGACACGAAAATAAAATTCCCCCAAGATCTACCGTGTAATACAACATTGAAAACCAAACGGTGCTAGGGCCCTGGCAATCTCTTTCTTCAGAAATAATGTTTGGTGGCAGGACGTTGTCTGCCCACTGCCAAAGTTCTTGTAGTACGTTAGCTAGAGTTTAGGAGATCTGAGCAGTGCCTGTCACCATACAAAAAAACATTACATTCAAGCTGATGGAAGTAGGGTTTGGTCATCTCCATTGGAGATGCAGATGCACCCCAGTCCTCTCCTGGGGTTCTTACAGAAGGATGGGACGATGCTGCTCCCCAGGAGATGGCTTCTCCTCCAGGAAGGTGATGCTTCTGGCTGGAACAGATTGGGCAGCAAGCTGGGAAAAGGACAGCCCTGAGTGCCAAAGAGGGCTAGAAAGCAAAATATGGAGTCAGCTGTAAGGAAGGTGATGCTTCTGGCTGGAGCAGATTGGGCAGCAAGCTGGGAAAAGGACAGCCCTGAGTGCCAAAGAGGGCTAGAAAGCAAAATATGGAGTCAGCTGTAGCAGACAAAGTCCTAAGCTGGTGGGTGGAGAGCGTGGAGGTGAAGAGTCAGCATGAAAGCGCTTTGGTCTGTATTGACATTGCAGAAGGGAGGCCTGTGCTGCCGTACCAGAACCTCCCCACGTGCTTCTTTTCCCCCACTCCCGCCGCTGCAGCCACAAAGCTCCCTGTGGGATAAATCCTGCCTGGGTGTTCAGGTAAGTTGTTGAATGGGAGCGGTGGCTTGTGCATGCTGGTGGTGGTGAATGTCTGCATGCTTGATACACCAACTGCACTCTGGGCTGGGCAGAGCACCTTAACATTGTGTGAAACCACGGGTACTGCACAAAACTAAACTTTCTACTTAAAATTATTGTTAAAAAAAAGATAGCTCACAGCCTGTGCCTTCTCTCCCAAATGCTCCAAGTGTTGGTTTTGGTAGGTAAAAGCAAAGAGCAAGATGGAAACTGTGGTGGCTCATACAGGAGGTTTGAAAGGAGCGTTGTCTCCTTTTTGTGTAAAATCCTAGACATATTTTTTCTTCCTCTTACTTGGCTTCTTGCCTACATGAAATTGCTGAATTCTGCTTCATTAAAATAATTGCTAATTGCATTTTACACTTTAGTTTTAGTAGCTGCTCAGCAAAAGGCTCGGCTATCAAAGATGCAAAGCATCTCCCGTGACCTACAGGTTAATCTTCACTTCACTGGGCCTCAGTGAGAGCCCTAATGGTCCACAAGTGCCGAGGTCTGGTCCTTTGCCTGACGTGTAGCCAAGCAGTAGGATGGGCCACATACTTGGAAGTTAGATTCTGGGGGGTGCGGTTTCATAGGGTTTATTGAGAATTCCCTGACGTTTTCCGTAGGTTGCTCCAAATGCAGATTTTTACACTGCCTTTAAAAACTAAGGCTCCTGTTATGCCAGTGTTCAGGAGTAAAATGAAATCATTCATTCAGCTGCATAGAGAGAATTGGACGTTACCTTTAAGACATGGTTGAAGCTGCTCGTGATCCTTGCCTGAAAGCCGTGTTGCACCTCGGCTGTTTGCAGGGAATGAGAGAGAAGAAAGCCTTCCTGCATCCAGCACGACACACAACATATGCCCTACAACATATGCCCTACTGCTTGTGCTATGCTGTTTGAGCGACAACAGTCTGCGTTTTTAATTGTCGTAACCCTAATTAGTAGTGACAAATATTTTGCAACTGGAGGACTGGGGATTTCTTTATAAGCTTTAGAGCCGGTGTAGAAAGTTTACTCCTTCGATCCACTCTAATCGTGCCTTAAGTTATTCAGCATATGCATATGATGGAGTAAAAGAAGCACTTTAGTGTGCTGAGCTTGAAATCATATGCTTTCCAAATCCCCTGCCAGCACAGCTTAGATGAAATCTCTCCTGGAAATAAGGCAGGAGTTGTTGACGTTTTCTTTCAGTGGGGAAAGGAGAGGTAGAAATGTGGGGGTGGCCGTTGGTTTCATGCTGAACAATGGCATGCGGAAGGAAAAAATCATTTATTTTTGTTGAACCTTTTTAAAGAATCTAGGTGTTCTTTGTGTCACGCTTTCTCATTGTAATAATCCAGAGACCTCCTCACTCTGCCAGAGATTTCCCCGAGGGAATCCCGGCCAAGTGTCGGATGAGACCCAACGTGACCTCTTGGGCTTGAACTTTTTTGGCATGTATTGCATCCGACTACAGGCCGATTTAGCCGCCTCAGGGGAGGGTCACGGGATCACAGAAAATACAGCGGTGATGGAAGCCCTGGAGGGCTAAACCAGAAACAGGGGTGGCATGGGCCAGCCCCTCAACTGGTGTAAATCAGCAGCAGGTCTCTGAGAACGACTGACTCGCGTGGATTTACCTCAGCAGGTGGGTCCCATCCAGCGTTTCCACCTGCGACACAACAGTTTACTCCTTTCTTGTGCATTTTGGTAACAGGAAACAGATACCAGTTTACCAGTTTTCCTAATGAAATGCAGTTTTTCCCTGATCCTCTTTTTTCTTTCTTTTTTTTTTTTTTAAACGAGGGTCGCTAAGATGGGAGGCTCCTAAACCGCTTGCCTGCATCCCACCCACCTCTGGCTGGCAGATGTTGGTATCGCTCAGACCCACGCTGTGAGGCTGACACTTGTCTCCGTGTTGGGTTGAAACAAAATCCTCTCCATCAGTTTGCCTGTAGTCGGGGGCCGCTTCGGTACCAAAGCCGAGCGGAACGCTTCCTTACACCCCAGCGCTCCCGCCTGCTGCCAGAAATTTCACAGCATAATCCCTCTATGTGATTCCAGGGATCCTTTTGCCATCTGTCTTATCACGGAGGTGGGTAGGACAGCCGAGCAGGCAACATCGCTGCCTGCTTCTCGCCGTCTTAAAAGAGAGCTCCTCGCACCCATCTGTTTGCCCGTCCCCAGGTGTGAGGCTCTTTGGCACCTCATGCTTCCCTGACGTGGTTATCCTACAGCCGGGATCCATGCTGAGGACTCATCCCAGCAGGCAGGCAGGAAATTTGTTGCAGAGCCAGCCAGCAGATTTGGGTTCCTGGGCTAACACCTTTCCTGGAGACAGGAGGAGCTGCAGATGGAGCCCACCGCTGTTGGGAGGGAAGTGGTTGTCACCAGGAAACCTGCGAGGGAGATTTTGCTCTGCACAAACCGTGGCCATCACCTCTGTGTCGTATCCTTCTCCAGGGCAGCCTTTCCATCGGCCCCCCCTTTCCCTCATCCCAGCCCACCACCGCCATTTCCCCCTTCCCGCTTTGAACACGTGTGTGTCGAAATCGGGGCTGACTGTGGAGCAGCCTTTGCTCCTCACCCCCGCTGGACCCTAATGCGGGGAGCTGGCGTACCCCCAAGCTGCCTGTCTGGGAGAAGATAACAAGAGGAATTGCCTGCCACAGATTAGTTAGAGCCTGACTGAATAGTCTTTACATAAACCCAAGGCTTATTTGGGGCTTTTTCCTAAGGAAATATCCAAATATAGGTAGAAACTATCATTTTTTTTTCCTAAAACCAGCCACGTTATTCTTCCAGAAATTAATATGCACATCTTTACCTTCTTCTTCCTATAAATTGGGTTCAGGAGCTGGTAACTCCTTAGCACCCTTTCTCTGGTATTCCGTAACGGCAGCAAATGGCAGCTGGGGTTGGAGCCCCCCATGTGCTGCCGTGTTGTCCTGCAGAAGACTTGGCCACCTCCTGGGGTGGCTCTGGGCTGGGCTTCACAGAAGCGCGTTATTTATTATTATTAATAATAATTTATGATTATTATTAGATTTATAGTGAAAGAAAGCACGCATGCCTTAAATGGCAGGGGTGCTGGCGTGTCTGCTGATCTCTGGGAGGGAGCTGGTCCTTCCCAAGCCATGTCCTTGGGGCAAGCTCCGTTGTAGAGACTTGTAGGAGCCACAGAGCCACAACCGTGGCTCTCTCGTCCCAGGCAGGAGAGCCCAAATGTCGGCAGCGTTTCCGGCAGGCAACTGCCAATATACGGAAAGGGGCCAGATTAGGCTGTGTGTGTGTTTGTGCAGCCGAGCAAATTATTTGGTAAAAGGCATGCGTCTGAGTAACGAAATGAGGTTTCTGTTGGGAGCTGTTACATCTTCCTGGTGCAGCCCTAAATGGGAAGAAGTTAAAGGGGGAGGGTAATAGGGGTGAGGTTAGGGGTGTTTCTTTTTTCCTAGAGTGTTAACTTGTTAAACAAGGCTTAATTCAGATGGCCTGCTAAATTTTACATTTCAAATTTTCCTACATTTTGCACATACTGGTTTTCACTGTATAATCTGTTTCTCTTGCTCTTTGTGTGGATCCCGCTTTCAAACAGCAATTAGTAAGACTTTCTAGTGCAAAGGAAATCTTGGCTAAATATAGTAATGTAGAGGAGGTTGTTTAAGATCTGCTAGGTATTCCACAGCTCTCTGGTATTCCCTGGATGTTTATTTCAACCAAGACTATTTTTTCGTTTAAGAAAAACATAATTTTTCAAGAGGAAAGCTAACCAAAGAGACGCAGCAACTGGTGCAATACCTGAAACAGTTTTTCACTGTTGGATCAGTGATTGCAGAGCCGTCAGTATCCCCCATGGGGGGTTTAGACCCTTCCTACTGCGTCGAACGGAGGAAACTGGCTGTAGGTCCTCCTTTGCTCTGGATGAAAGCACGGGGATGTATGGCCTAAGCCAGTGAAGGGATTCAGAACTTCTGAACTGGGTGACCTTCTCCCTGGTCCTTGGTCCCACCAGTCAGTGGGAAAGCTTGTGTGGATGCCAGCAGCACACAAGCAAGGCTGCCACGGCCATGTGCCTGCCTGGTGGCTTGGAGGAGAGCATGGGGAAGGCAGGAAGGCCAGGGAGGAGTGGGACGCGCATCAACCAAGGGGACAAGAGGCTAAGGAGGAGGCAAAGTGGGGTGGTGGCAGGGCAGGGACAGGCTAAGCTATTGCTAAGATAATTTTTTTTGTTAGATGTGCAGGTGGGTGCTGATCCACAGGCTGTAGGAAGGGCATCCCAGCTGTCACTGCAGCCTCGCACCCACAGCCCTTCTCTGCCTGGGGTGGTGCCGTGCGTGGCAGCCGTGGCCTGGCCCTGGCAGGACGAGCAGGGCTGAGCGTAGGACAGGGCTTTGCTCTGACTGCTTCCCATGTAGGAAGGAGACATCTTCATGAGGCGGTGTCATGGGGCACCACTGACCACTTGGAATGTCACCAGCCACAACCCCTCCTTGCCAAACCTCGAGTCTAGGGCAAAACCGTAGGTGCCCAAAGTGCTGGAGAGGACACTTGCCCCCCATCACCTGCCTCCCCATCAGCAGGGTGGGGCAGCCCTGCGCCCCACTCCAGGTGAAGGCCACTGCCCCTCACTGGCAGCCGGACCGTCCATCCCAGCCCATCACTCACGCCTCCGGGTCTCTTCTGTCTCTCTGTCTGTCTGTCCCTCTCTGCAGGGAAAGTCTCTGGCGAGCAAGCGCCTCACGGGCCTGATGCAGTCCTCCTGACGGCGTCAGGCGGCCGCCCCGCAGGAGACACAGCCGGGACCGCCGCCGGGGACGGGGCGTTTCGGGGAGAGCGGGTCCCCGCGGGGGGACAGAGCCTGAGCCAGCGCCGGGGGAGCCCTTCTCCTCGCAGTTTACATCGACACTTTCCTACCTGCACAGCTTTGTAAGGACGCCGAGCTCCGTGCAGGTACTTTGTTCCCAAACAGGGTTTGGAGGAGGACCCGTCACCGTACGCAGGAGGTCAGCAAGGCAAGGGCTTGCTGTCTTGTTAAGGAAACAGACCCAACCGCAGCTTAGAGAAAGAAGAGCTGAGAGATCGGTATTTTTCCTTCATCTCTTCTCTCCCTGGCACAAACATGGCTGTAATAGACACCACTGCAATCCCAGTTTCTCCCTTTCTTGTGGTCGTCTGGATCCAATAAAACATCTGCTGGAAGCTGCTTCTTCTTCTCACAAAAATCTCAAATGCATTTCTCCTGCAGATTCATTGACTTTAGCTTTGTTTTTCTTTCCCGTGTCTCTCCCTTAAAGCAATGAAAAAAGAACCGGCACTGTTTAAGTTCTTCACTCACTGTCCTTCCAATAGCATGTAGCATGTCCGGAGATGATGGCCAGATCCTCAGCCGAAGTCAGGAGAGCATGAGTGGTTTTCATCGCCTGAGGCTCTGCCCCATTGAGTCAGACTCTGATCTTGGTGCAAATCCTCTGGCGTCGGCGGAATCGCTCTGCATGTGCGTGTAGTGCAAATGTGACCAGACTCTGCCTGATGCTCAAAAAAAGTCATGTTTTAGACGTGTAATGCACACAGAGACACACACATGGTATTTAAAAGTGAGTTGTTTTATATTGTATTTGATTTTCTATTTATTTGAGGTTTTGCATACTTAATGATGGATGTTCAAGCTTTACTCCAAGTAGATAGGATTGAACCCGTTAGAGGAGACTCCAACTCCAGTCACAGAGGGCCAAAACCTGTTCACCTGTACACAGGGAAAGGCACCACTGATGTGGGCAGGTGTCAAAATTCAGTCTACAGAGAGGAGAGAATTGATGGAGATGGGACTGGCAGAAGGAGGGCGTGAATGGGCAGGGTGCTGGGTGCCAGGTAAACCCTTCCTGAGCAGCAGCACACCCAGCTGTGATAAAAAGCTCAGATAACTGACCCCACTGCGAAGCACCACTGTAAGAGTGGAATTGTACCACTTGTGGAAATGAGCTTCCACTAAAACTTGTCTGACCTGCAGCCCATGAATACAACTGCAGGAGATGACTAAGTAGCTTGTTTCAAACGGTTGGGAGTATGTTAGGATGAGGACAGAACTGAAGCGACTTTAATTAAAAAAAAACTCATAAGCTACCTGCAGATAGAAAAATGGACTGTGTTCACATGCATTATATTGCCTATATATGAAAATTTCAAGACTCAGTTGACTTCATGCCACAAAACTTCCTATATTTTGCAAGCAGTTCAGATCTGAAGCATATGTGAAAACAGACATTTCTTAGTCTTCTTTACTCGTGCCAAGGCAAATTGGCTTTTTGTGCAGGTGGTAGAAATTGCTATATGGCTACAAGTCTGCATACCTACCCAGGCAAAACCATCTAGCTAAGTAGACAGCTGGCTATCAACAATATTCACTTCTGAGGCAAGTATTATTCTAATATCTAAGGCCTATGTATGCACAAAATCAGCCAGCCTAGTTTCTGTCAGAAAAAAAGCACCTTCCCTCTTTAACCATAACAGTTCTTATTTTGGTGTCTCTTTTTTTTTGCCCCCAGAAAACTCCTATTACAGATTTTAGCTAAGGTCTATAAGACCCTCTACAGCTGCATGAATGTACAGTAGAATTCTGAGAATACTTGTTCTTTACGCAGGTCTGTTCCCATAAACAGCCTACTGTCTGAGGGCTTCAGACCAAATTCATCCTATATGTACATGACACACAAGCGAGTTCCAGGACTGCAGAACCATCATGGATGTGCCTGTACATTCATGTGGTGTCCCCTCTAAATTACCACTTAACTGTCTTGCAGGACCCACTTGTCCTCCTTGCCCACCCACCCAAAGGGTCCTCTTGGGTAATAGTGGGTCTTCGCCTACTATTGTGGCCCAATTGTCCATTCATGCACATACATACGTGTGCCTTTATGTTATCCCCAAGAAATATACAGGCTGGCTCTTCTCAGAGCTTTGTTGATGTTGTCTTTATCTGTGTCAAACCCGCCATTGCCACGCGTCACCGGAGCTCTGTAAACCAACAGCTGCTCAAACCCCGAGCTATTTCTACTGCCAGTGCTGCCCAGCCTCTAGGCTGAGGCATTTCCTAAGGGATGTCTGTCCTGTGAACCCCTAAACTGGTCTGCAGAGCATTCCCGAGTGGGATGTACATGTAAAGCATGAAACTCTGGTGTGTAGCAAGGAACAGAGACAGCAAAGTTTTACCTGGGGGGGTCTCTGCTTTACAGTGGGCTCCTGACACTGGACAGGTCTTCTCCCAGGGGAAGGATGGGGTAGCTCCATGGAGGTGCTCCTCGGTGTCCTGCAGCATGGGGGAAGAAATGAGGAAGAAATTCTTTACTTGAGGAATAAATTCTTTAGTGTGCGGGTGGTGAGGCACTGGAACAGCTTTCCCAGAGAAGCTGTGGATGCCCCATCCCTGGAGGTGTTCAAGGCCAGGCTGGATGGGGCTTTGAGCAACCTGCTCTAGTGGGAGGTGTCCCTGCCCATGGCGGGGGGGTTGGAACTTAATGTTTTTTAAGGTCCCTGCCAACTTAAACCATTCTATAGGGGCGCACGTGGGTATGATTGGAGGGTGCTGGTGGGTGCAGGGGACGGGTGGAATTTGGGTTATGTCTGTGCGGTGAGTGGCAATGCCAGACTTCTTTTTTAAGGCCCCTTCCAACCTAAACTATTCTATAGGGGCGCATGTGGGTATGACTTGAGGGTGCTGGTGGGTGCAGGGGACAGGTGGAATTTGGGTTATGGTCTGTGCGGTGAGTGGCAATGCCAGACTTCTTTAACTTGGAGATGTGCTGCTGCCCCATGAGCCCTGTTCTGTCCTTCCTGCGCCGTTCCTGCAGGATGGCCCCGTTGGCTGCTGCAGTGTTTGGCCCGTGGGGAATATGCTGTGTTTGAACCATTGAGTGCATGGCGGGGGGGGTAGCGGGGGGGATTTTTACAGACACAGAGAGCATGCATATGGGCGAACATCAAGGGGCCTGGATGCTGAACAGCTTGCCATTTAAATGCACACTCGTGCAAGCTAATCTGCTCAGTAATGGCTAGCTGAGCGGACAGAGCTGCGTATTCTCTGGAGAGAAAAAAGCCCTGCTCCTCATTTCCTGACTAAATTTCTCTAAAACAAACATGAGAGTAGACAAGGCCTCCTCCTGGGAACACGTATGAACTGCTCTTCACGTGTCTTACTTCACATATGACCATGCTAACAAGTAACTGCTTCCACATGAACTGCATTCTCAAAGTACTGCTTTCTAATGGCATTGCTTATTCCAAGTGATGCTACTCTTGTGCACTCACCAGTATCCCACTGAGTGTTGCAAGCAGTAATCTGCTGCTTTATAAGCGTCCCATGTCTTCCAACTACCTCATCATCCTGAAGATGAGTTAGGAAATCAGCTTTCCACCTCTATTTATGTAGAACATAAATGGCATCGTTTCAAGGCAAGGCAGTCTGAAAGGCTTTTACGATGTCCATGCTGGCTACAAAGCTTCCTGTACTTACAGGACTATGGCTGTACACTGTTATTTGGATAATAGAGTATCCAGAGCATTTGTGGCTAAATGGCAACAGGACAAGCACTAGGAAGGTTGGACAAGCCTGTGCAGACAGCGTTAGGCTAAAGCAAATGGATTCATGTACTCTCGGTATAACTCAGCGCTAAGATCCCATAGAGTACTGTAATAAAATGGTAGCAGGGCAGCCATAAAACGTGGCAGCAAGCTGACATAATAATACCAGGATAAATGTAGCAATAAGGTAACACAGGCCGCTGCAGTAAAGTAGCATTTTGATAATGCAGCAATAAGACACAACAGGATGCTGCAGTAAATTAGTTTGGGGAATCAGGCAGTAATAACGGTGTGTGCGGACAAACGGCGGTACATTGGTACCAGGTACTGCAGCAATAAAGATAACACAAGGTGTCCTAGTAATAAGTTACTACAGTAACAACAACACGGTGCACTGTAAAGTTATATCAGGATGCTTCCACGCTGCAGTCAAATCGTACAAGAGGTGGTAGAGAGACAACAAAGACAAAATACGCCCCGTTTTGGACTGCAAAAAATGAGTCAGTTTTCTGCACGGTAACCCAAATTCTGGAATGATCTCAGCAATACCGATCATATCACTCCCCACTTTCAAGGAAGCTGAGGCAAGAGTGCTCCCCCATCCAGCCTGTTATTTTGGTCTGAAAATACAGAGTTGACTCATTGTCTCTTCAGTCGAATTGTCACAGACTGTGGTGAAGTTCTTTGGTTAGTCCTTACTCAGGTGAGACCCCGGTGATGTCAGTGTGTCCTTTGCCTTGGAAAGGATTTGGCTGTGTCATCTTCTGGCATGGGTGATGCTTTTAGCCTACAATTATTTCTGTTTCGGGGTGGGGGAAGGGGAACCCAGGTACAGAACATCTGACTGTACTGGTCTGTTTCCTGACATGCACAAATAAATTGAGCATCCTGGAAAAGTCAAAGCAATAATGACCAAATCTGTTCTGTCTGTCATGCATGTATGTGAATAATCCTGCTGGAATCAGTGCAAGTCCTGGGTGCATCTGTGGGCAGGGCTTGGCCTAACCCTGTTCTCAGTGTCTCCAGCAGTGTGTCTTGTCAAGTTTTATTTTTTTTATATTATCTCCTTTCCTTCTTTTCCATATACTTTTTTTAATTTAACCTCACCTCTGTATGAAATGTCCTTATTAAAAAAAAATCAGTTTGCCATTAAGACAATATGCAGCATGGTGGACAAAAAAATAGTTGTGTCCATTTGCTGTCTTTTTTTACCCTTCAGTGAAGGGTATAGCATTCTGGAAAATAACCAGCAACCACTGTTATACTCAATAATCATCAGGCCTAAGGGTTTAGCCAAAGCATCTATGTCAACAGCAAGGCCGGAATGGAGTGTGTGTGCTAGATAACAAGATGGTCTCCTGGGAAAAGGATGTAAATAGGGCACCACTGCAGACTCCTGACTAGCAGGAGCAGCTCACAGCTGGCTCTGGCTCCTTCAGCCAGTCCCAACAGATACGAATTTTCTACCACATCTTTCTGACCCTTTATCCTTTTTGTGTGGCTTCCTCTGTTTCTAGCTGACTGTGCTGCGTTCAAGTTTTGAGCAGTGTTTTGATATGCCTTGGCTTGGCTCTCGCCTTAAACTCCTTGGCTTGCTCTTATTGTGGTTTAATGATTAAGCAGGATTATTAAAGTAGAGCTCGCAGTAGGGTAAGATAGGCTAGGTTATCATGATTTCGTCGTTTAAGCTGTGAGCAATTTTGCAGCTCCTCGACACTGTTTATAACCTGA